CTCTGGTATCGAGTATGATTTAGGTGAACTGAATGGAATACTAGACTTTCGCTTTGAATTTCACTTTCTCATAGCCTTAAATGTTTGCTACAAATCGCCTAATAACTTCTCTGCGTTTTCCCTTCCTTTATGTTCTCTTCTTCACTTTTCTTTTTCCTTTTGTTACTTGACTGCCCTCTTTCAGTCTGTGGCTTTGATTTATTGTTTCCTCTCCAACCTTGGTTCACTTTATGGAGTGTGGGGGCCATTTTCGTTGCTGTAACACTCCTACTTGCCGGCTAACAAGATGAGCCTTGTCTTGGGCCGTATAGAGGCCTCCAGAACCCGCCGGCATGGTTCGAATCCCGCCGGGTCTGCCAAACGACGATGAGGCGGGGTGGAAGTCAATGTCCGGTCTCGTGGTGCAAATGGACGTCTTGGCTGCAGTCAAACTCCGCGTACAAGCACCGTCTCGTAGTCGAGGGCAGACACTGCAGCACGCAGTACACGAAGCTTCGACAATGTGACTGGTTCATGGCGATATGTGCAAAAACAGACAGCAATGCTGACAAATTATCTTTTAGTCCATTATTTTTGGTAAAAAGGACACATACGGAGTGCGAGAGAGCACGCGAGAGAGACAGAGAAAGAGAGCGAGAAAAGTCGTTGCGAGGCTAACACACATTGTACTATTGCATATATTTGTGGACGCAGCCGAGCATGCAGTAGCGCTGGCAACAGCTCGTCCTCCACTCAATAGTTGACATTTTGTAGACTGCAAGCACATTTTCATCTTCAGTTCAATAACTGCAAATGCAATCAGTTCTGCGAGCTCTGTGATCCCGATTTGGCTCGCTCGGAACTGCAGGAGGAGTCAACGCCGTGCTCATCTCATGAAGGACTGGTGAGTCGTACTGAACTCTCCCAGTTTCTCGATTTTTCCCTTTGCACTGATTACAAGGTTTTTGTCTTTGAAGAACTCCGTGACCTGTTTGTGTGGCCTTGCCAACTCAGCTACCCTCTGGTAAGGAGGAGAAGTTAATTTTTGTCTACTTCCAGGCCCCCTTTGCCTATGTGTGTGTATGTGTATTTGTGTGTGTGTGTGTTCCGACAAATACAAGAAACTCATACTGGTTGTTAGGTGGCATAACTAGGCTTCCGCGTCGTCATGCTGGTATGCACCAAGCGCAGATCTGCAGTCAAGGCGGTGTCCTGTGCAGTAGTCTTAAATCGAAACTGTCGTGTTTAAGAAAATTGTCTGTCTTGAAGGCACTTTGTCGAAGAGAGGAGGCCAACGAAAATGAGAGCTGAACATGAAATTCGCTGCTAAGGCCATTCTGAGATGGCCTTGGCTTGGGTCGCAGTCTTCTCTCGTTATATTCTCTTGAATGGATCTCGTTTTGGCGAATTGGCCCTGTTTACAGAACAACATTGCAGAATGCATTGCATCCTCTC